GTGGCGAGGTTACAAAAGAAAAGTGAGCATCTACCCACGAGGTTACAGCGAGCAAATGCAGTGTAATCAGGAATTTTACCCACGAGGTTACAGAGAAAATGCAGTGATTATTATTAATGTAACCATCAGGTATGTTCTACCCACGAGGTTACAGAGAGCATGCAAATTGCCCATTAAAGAGTTTTTCGTCCCCGGAATAAGCCAAGAAATAAAGTATATATAAGAAAAAAAACGAATTACTAAACAAATTAAGCCGAGTGGCTCTGCACTATTTTTGGACGAGAATGGGCCTTGCCTCGTAACAAAAATTTAATGTTGCAGTCTGTTTTAAACGTTGGCATATCAACGCGCACAGTCACTGAATGAAAACAACAGTCACGATCACGTTCTTCGAAACCGACAAATCGCGCGCGACCTACCACTGTTATGGTAAGCAATTATCCTGAAGGTGTTAATGTTCCCGTGACAGTCTTCGCACTGAAGGTGTAAATGGTAAACCGAACGGTCGCTTTGATCATCAGAAAGACCTGTCAACTTTGATGATTTAACTGATTAAATTACGGGACAGAAATTTTACTGCTTGCGGCTCCTCGTGACGAGATTGGTAAATAGACGTCTGGTAACGAGGCAGTGGCAGTGAGCATGCGCGTACATTGTGGCCTTGCCCATTCTCGTCCCCAGAGAAAACGAATTACAAATTAAGCCGAGTGGCTCTGTGGACGAGAATGGGCCTTGCCTCGTTACTTTTCATTTTGTTTAATTTTGCCAATTACTCGCCCTCAATCGCTATGGAACTTAAAGTAATTAAGCAAATAAATTACATGTAAATGACAAAATCAGAGATCCGAGACATACAAATATGTCTCCTGAGCATTATTTTTGAAGTTGCAAGCAGCAGGGATCAACTTTGAAAAACTGTTAGGCTGAACAGTTTTCAAAAATCCTAATTTCAGTCCGTTTCAATCTTCCTCAGTTTTGCCCATACGTGACATCTGTTGTTTCTGTTGCGTTATTTTAACCTTCCTTTAAGGTTTTAAGTGGTTATTTTTATGTATCTCTTAATTTAACGGGCATTTTGTAATTTCCTAATTTGGCTGAATTTCGTGACACAGCTCCTTTAAGTCTCGTTACCAGATGTTTATTTGCGCGCAAAGGAAGGTGGAGTTTTCTCGTCTTCCAGTGATCCTCAGTGCATCGCCGCCCGTCATTCACGTTTCGGGCTCGCCTTTTTTCGCAACCAAAGTTTGAAAAACTAAGCGCCAGCCGGTAGGAGGCAGCTCACAACCACAAAGAGAATGCCAGTTGAAACCTACCTCCTGGAACAACCACATAGATGAATCATTGGGCAGGACTTACTTTCATTGCCGACTTTCTTGAGGCCCCCTACAAAGTGGCGTCGTCGTTTTTGATTAGAGAGTTTACGCAACGACGACGACGGCGGCATCTAGAACGGCAAAAACAGGGGAGGATCCAGGATTTTTTTTAGGAGGGGGTGCACTCGTCTCTTGCTCTTCTTCAACACCAATAAACCACATAGTTCTTTTTTTTTTTGCTGAATACCAGTTGTATTAGAAAACCGCAGGTCATCTCAGGGAGGGGTGCGCACCCCCTGCACCCTCCCCCTGGATCCGCCCCTGAAAAAAGCAATAGGTTTAGACTGGCAAAACAACAACTTTACACATGCATCACGCTTTTTTGAACATTTCTCTGCCGTCGTTGCACGACTACAACGTGAAACTGCCTAATTTCACGTTTTGTCGAGGACGGGAGCAAAAGACAACAACTTTCTTTTTCTTTTCCTAAACTTTGACGCAGTCCTTTAGAATTCAACTCCAATCAAATTTGCCAACATTTGACACATTAAACGAGATGGAATAAGCGCGATAAAGTTTGAGGCAGCGCAAATTCACTTTTTAAGTGACGTTTTCGTAGCCGTCGCCGACGTCGTTGCGTAAACTCCCTATTATCGATCGAGAATCCCCGCGGGTGAACAATCCTATGATCATGAATTCCTCAATTTTTCATTTGATCTCAAGAAGGCTCTTTGATTTCTTTTACTTATAAAATTTTCTTGCAAGCACGATGCTATCAGTAAAGGTAAAGGAATAAGTGCAAGATGAGGGTTTTCCTCTACCCCCGGTGGCTGGGATTTTGCTATCCCCCTATTGATCAGCTGAAGCCAGAATTTTAATGTAAAAGTCAAACATTTTTTCCGCATGGAGGAAAAAGAAGGCTTCCCGTTTACACGCTGTTTATGAAAGTCCAAAAAGTAGCAGTGAAGTCGCCTCTCCACGGGGAGAGTAAGCCTGAGAAGTAAACTTTTTTTGTCTCCTTCCCTCCCCCCGCCCCACCCAGGACTGCCTTTCGAACACGTGAAAACCGCTGATTTCTGTTGTAAAGCGTCTTCTCAGGCCTTCTCGGTCAACGCATTTCGGTGACGTATCCGAGATATTTTTCTCGATCCACTCTCCCACCATCTTAGAACCTGGAACAAGCCAACAGTGCGTTCTCGGACCACTTGATCCGAAACGCTTCGGCCGCGCGCAATAATGAGGTCTAGGGACTAGGCATGATCTGTTATACATCCTTCGAAACTTCGTATTTCGCTATTTCGCGGGCAGCATTTCTGTTCAAGGTTCTTTGCCTAGCTGTTTCGGCTTTTATTCTAATTTTGCTCTGCTCGTGCTCAAAAACTAAAAGAAAACTAACTAGTAAAGGGTGTCAAAGGTCTGTTTGGATGTTTTTGCCAAAGCTTAGTTTGATCATAAATTTTAAAAGCAAGGGAAAGTCGTTTTTTGCATCAAGCAACTTATTTTTGGACGATCATTGTTCTACAAGTAAGTGTTCTGCATGCTGCGTATGTGAATTCGAAACGATTTTTGGTTGGTTTTGTGAAAAGTTTGAACCCAGGAGTCGTATCATAAATAGGTTGAATATGATCATCCGGGTGAAAGTAGTCGACTGTTGTTGACAGTGACTGACGTTTCTACAACCTGTGCGGTAAGTCATCTTCAGAGTCAAAAGTCAATGTCAACGGTTGGTTTTGTTCCAGAACTTTGTTATTGTAAACTTTATTTCGGGCTCCAGGTATTTGAACATCCAGCAGAGGGGTCTTACTGACAATTGTCCAGACAGCCTATTACTATAGTTTGTGAATTTAAACGGTTTCTCATAGTTTATTTTATGAATATATTATTAGCGAACAAAATAGTGCAAGATGACGACAACAACCACAAGGAAGAAAAATGAATGATTCACCGCGCGTCCTGTTTGTCGATGTTTGGCAACAACCCCAAATGTATATAGCGTTTGAGGCTGTACATACGAGCTATTTTTATCCCGGAAAACTATTTCTAGATGCCCCTGGATTAATGCTATATTGGCATGGAAATGAAGTGAAGTTTCGTGGTTTTTCCTGTGGGGGAAAATGACCTTGACTTTTAAACGTTTCAAATGTGATAACTTAAAAACTAAAAGCACTTTAAAGATTCGAGACAACTGAGACAAACTAGCCGGTAGATATGCTAGACATCGCGCTGAGTTTGATGCCAGAGTATGAAAACCCTGAAATAGCAAACCCTAAGTGATTTTCACTAGAAAAAATGACTATAACGGAAAATAAAATACGAAATTACTTTCGTCTGTACTGCTTTTGTGGCACATCAGTATTGGGTTTAATCGAATGACTCAGTTTCTCGGCCTCAGAAAATTGTAACACCATGCTAAGAAGAAGCGCTTTTATGCAGCACGGCTCTGGGGAAAAGGCTACAATACAGAGAGTAAAGCGTTATTATAGTTCACCTAATAAAATCGAAAAAACGACTGGACAGTAAACAAGTTTAAAATATTGTGATGGCACTTCATACGAAATATTTATCAGTGGTCGTCGTCGCTTTCCTTCACAATTTGATACGATACGATCTTTTAAGATGAAGGCCAACGCAAGGGTGCAACCATTTTGAAGAAAGAACACCAATAAATTCCCACTATTTTTATGCCGAGTAGTTTGGACAGTTCACTTAAGTAGTACGACATGAGAAAATTCACAATTTTATAATAACTGACAAATGTCCAATCTCTGACAGATCTTTGAGGACTAATTCATGACTCCAGCATAGAAAACCACCAACTTAAGCTTGGTTGAGCAGCACTTCCCTCGCCCCACGGCTGTCTAACGGAAAGCTTTAAAAGGTTTAAGAAGGAGCCCAGTTCACATGTGAGCTCTTGGCTTGTTTCCATTGTTTTAGCTGGCTATGTTGATTTTCAGTAGAGTTTCAGTTTACCAAATTTAGTTAAAGAAGTGTTAAAGTACTGCTAAATATTTTTAGAGCTATTTATGACAGACTAGAAGTTAAACAACCTGGCGACAACTCCTCATTAAATATAGGGGTTCTGACAGTGGAGCCTCGAGAATAAATTATGACGAAGGGCCTAGGGAATGACAAACTAATATTCTTGCTATATAAATTACAACGAAGTCTCGCCGGCGGTATTGAGGTTCTTTTACTATTACTGGGGTGAAGAATATCGTTCGTTTTTCCTAAGGACTTTGTTATATAGAGGTTTAAATCGAGGTTCCATTCTGATTGTAACTCAATCAAGCCCGGCTTATGTATGTGAAACGGAGAGAAGGATCCTTTACCCCTGGTTTTGGCCAAACTTTGAAAGTCGAAACCGCACTTAGAGGTTTATTTGTTTTCCGCGTAGCATAAAGTGGTTTAACATGTATGACCGCAATGTGAAGAATTTCTATAAATAGCGCGCTGAGATGTCGAACCGGCTGCCCTTTTATACCAAACACCACCCTTCAGAAATAGCTCGAAACCTCACAACCACTCAGACTGCTCCAAAAGCTGTCACGTGTGGAATAGGTCACGTGATCTACACCGCCTCGGAAAAAAGGGGCCTCAGTGAAGCGTGTATGTTTTCTTCAAGTGAAGTTTACAGGCGCTAAATTTCAGAAATTTTCGCTCGGAAAATGCTTAATTTTTTTCGTGATGTCATGGGCTGACTTCATTCACGTAGCAGCGTTCTCATTTGAAATTGTGCCGGCCCGAGCACTTTAGAAATGACTTGAAGACGTTCAAACAATGATTTTGGGTTGCTGATCAACAACGAATCATCCGGGAAGCCTCGAAAAGCAAGCTGTCTTCTGTGTTATCCCGAAATGGCCGGCGAGGAAAGGTCTGGATACTCCATTAGCACGGATGCTGAATCGGCCAGCGTCGATTTGAAGCCCTCCTTCGCTTCTGTAAAGAAGGAAAGATCTTACTCGCAAGTCGATACACGGCAGAAAAAGGGCTGTATTCCCTTGTTTTTCGAACGTGCTTCTTCACGGTGGTGGAAGCCCTCTTTCGATTCGAAAATCTTGGAAGAAGAATTCCAACGTTTTACCGCTCACAACCAAAGGCGTCTTATTCACGCTTTGATGTTCATTTGCCTCGTGTGCGTCACTTGGGGGATATTTTTTGCGGTTTTGTATTTTGGAGATAATACTAAAGCCCCGACAGATAAAGAAGAACTAAAGATTTTGATTATTGGTGATGCTTGTTTTCTCGTGTTGGTCATCGCGCTTATGCTGTTTACAAAATTCAGCAGAATGTACAAGAAATGTGCCTCCTTGGTTTCGCTGCTCGCTTCTGTGTTATTAATCGCCATGGAACTTTCGCTTTTCGCTTTTCCAACTACTCTGAAGAACCCAGCTCGGTTTTGTATGTGTACATGCGCGATCATGTTGATTTATACGATGATCCATTCTCATCATTTGTATATCTGTATTATGATGACAGTGGCTTTTTCTGTAGCTCATGAAGTCCTTTCCGACGTGGTCATCGATCCCGAGACCGAGTCCAAGCCCAAGGAAATCATCTGTCGCCTGGCCCTCCATATGTGTATTCATCTTTTTGGGATACAGATCTTTTTCATGGCTCAGGTTCGCGAACGTAGCACTTTCTGGAAGGTTGGCCAATGCGTGGTCGCGCGTCAGGAGTTGGAAGTGGAAAAACAAATGAAAGAACAGATGATTCGATCCGTCATGCCCAACCTCGTCGCGGAGAAACTACTCAGCTTGGACGAAGAAACGGGAGAAGATGCTAAAGACAACTCCAATGGTAAAAGGAAGCGGCCAAAGAAAGGCCAGATGGTTTTCCGGCCTTTTCAGATGCATCGTATGGAAAACGTAAGCATTCTTTTCGCCGATATTGTCGGGTTTACAAAGATGTCTTCCAACAAGTCTGCGGAGCAGTTAGTGAGGCTTTTGAACGATCTCTTTGGACGATTTGATCGCCTCACGGAAGTCAATAATTGTGAGAAAATCAGCACTCTTGGGGATTGTTATTACTGTGTTGCAGGTTGCCCAGAAGCAACACCACATCACGCCTGCAACTGTGTAGAGATGGGTCTAGACATGCTGGAGCAAATCAAAGAGTTTGATGCAGACACCAAAAATGAAGTTGACATGCGAGTTGGTGTCCATACAGGAACTGTCCTCTGTGGTATTGTTGGTACGTTGCGCTTCAAGTTTGATGTCTGGTCCAATGATGTAAATTTAGCAAATCGCATGGAAACGGCCGGCTTGCCTGGCCGTGTCCACATAACTGAGACGACATTAAAGTTTCTTGCTGGCCACTACATTGTTGAGGATGGGCATGGCAGCTCACGTTACCAAGGGTTAGAAGGAATTAAGACATACTTTATCGTAGGTCGAAAAAATGGCATGAAGAAACCCATGAATCTTCTTCATCCTAGTGGGCGTAAGAAGAAGACAGCAAACCTGAACTCGATCCACGTCAATATGAATAAGACACATCACAGTAGCCCCCAAGGAAATAAGAAACATGTCAAGATTTCAGAACAAGTGTCATCATCCTATGCAATCGTTAACTCTGACTCCAATATTTCAAGTCAAGGTGAATCAAGCTCCGACAGTGGTCCCAAGATACTCAAGGGTAACCTTAAAAACAAACAAGACGTCATTGAAATGGAATATTATAGTTGTTCTGGAGCCTCGGTGAGATCTGATGATGATGAGGAGGAGTCTAATGGACGAGTTCCAGTTGACAGGCGTTCTTCACAAATGATGGGACTATCATTAAATGAAGCATTAATGAGGGACACACTTCGTACCCAGAATGACCAACAGCTTGTGGATATGATGAGTCAAGAACGGTCTGGGGATGAGTACTTCTACAGATCAATGAACACTTGTACACTTCAGTTTCACAAGAAAGATCTGGAGAGGAAATATCAGAACGAGGGACAAGATTGCACTTTGCTTAATCCATCGGTAACAACATTTGCATCTCCAAGAGTTAACTTTTTCATTGATGTAGTACTTTCAAACATTATTTATCTCTTCATTATGGTTTTGGGCTTTATTCTCTACCATCCTGTGCAACTAGCTGTTATTATTTTGTCGCCGATCTCACTACTCATAGAAGTAACACTGTTCTTTTTGACTGTTGCCCGTGCCTTTCCTTATCTGTATTCTGCCTGTGTGAACCGCGTAGTTGGATGCATTAGTGGTTGGTTTACCAGCCATCTGATTGGAGCACTTCTTCTGTGTCTTCCCATGGGAACTCTTTTCGCTAATTTCATGAACTGCGGAGAGCTTGGTATAGATAATAGCCAAGTGAGGGACTTCTATTCATTAATCTTTGCCATTGCATTACTGCATTTCTGTAACTTCACTCAGCTGACATCTTGGATGAAGACAGGTTTGGCTGCTGTGTTTTCAGTTACTTACATTACTTTGTTGTGTTTTGATGACTTTTGTGCATTTCAGACACAACAGGAAACTGATTCTTTACGTCGACAAATCATTGTCTGTATTGCGTTGTTGTTAGTGTTTGTGTGCATACTAAACCGACAGTTAGAGATGAGTGTGCGTCGAAATTTCAGTGGAGACATAGAAGCTGCAAAAGACAAACGAAAATCACAAACTCATAAAGAGCAAGCTGCTTGGTTGCTTGAAAGTATCTTTCCCAAGCATGTCGCTGATGCATTGCGGACTTCGAGTCATTACTCTCGAAATTATGAAAATGTTGGGGTCATTTTTGCATCGATCGTCAACTTTTCAGATTTTTATGAGGAGAATTTCGAGGGTGGCAAAGAATGTATTAGAGTACTCAATGAACTTGTTGGAGACTTTGATGATCTTCTTTCGGACAAGGTGCAGTTCAGCCAAGTTGAGAAAATCAAGACAGTAAATGGATCTACTTTCATGGCAGGATCAGGGCTTTACCCAGAAGGTGTTGCTAAGAAAGATGCGCATCCTTACGACCACTTAAAGCAACTGGTAGAATTTGCTCTCGGGATGATGAAGGTTGTTGACAGGTTCAACGAGCACATGCTTGGATTCAAATTTGTATTGAGGGTTGGATTCAATGCAGGACCACTCACTGCAGGAGTGATTGGTTCAACAAAGCTGCTTTACGACATATGGGGGGACACTGTGAATATTGCTAGTAGAATGGACTCTACGGGGGTGAAAGGTCGAATTCAAGTCAGTGAGGCCTCTAAGGAACTGCTTGATGAATTCTTTACTTTTGAGCGGAGAGGAACAATCCCTGTCAAAGGAAAGGGTCATATTACAACATACCTCCTTACAGGACGTAGAACGGTATGTTCTCTCTGTAACATACTGTATGTCCTTGAATAATAGCCATCCCTCAATTAATCACCTCCCTCAAATAATTCCCCCCCCCAGACGAAAAAATACAAAATAATTGCCTTCCCTTGAATAATAAAAATAATAGTCGCCTCGGGCTATTATTCGAGGAAATACCGTAAGTAATGAATATATGTGTGAAATCTAACATTGCATGCTCTAAAATAAAGAAGACAAATATCGCCACACAAAAGCACTACTAGGGGTTTCTTTTGAATGGCCACCTTGTGGGATTTTGTCCATGGAGTCTTGCCATTTCATGTCTTCATAGTTTATCTTGTAGTAATTGATATTATAGGGCTGAAAGAACTAGAATACAAAGTGAAAAAGCTCAAGTACAGGAAGTTTTAGGTCATGCAGTCAAGAATCAGAAACAAATCTGAACGTCAGTTGGTAAATAAACCATCCCATATCAGCCCACACAAAGGTTTACAGTCGTGATTGATTAATACAGTCTATCATTTATTAGAGAAGAATAATTAGGGGAGGGTTGGAGGGCTTAATAGAGAGGGGGAGGGGGCTTATTTGAGAGGGGAGGCTTAACCCATTCGCTCCTAGGGATTTTGCCGAAAAACGCGTTTTGAAGCTAGTCGAGTGGTTTTCTGGTCACTGTCGTGCTATAAAGAGCTAAAACTTACCACAAACTGGTTTACAGGTCGAACACTTCGCGGCCTTGTGATCCAGATGCAAAATATCAGCTTGCGAAGTTCGGGCATGCGCAGAAAGCAAAATTTTTTGGGTTTAAAAGTGACACAGCAGTCTTGACTTTTACTTTTCGCTTTCTCTCCTCCCTTCTTTTTTCGCTTTTCTTGCCTCATTTTTTTTTTCTCTTGCTGGGCATTTAGTAGGCTTCATTTTGGTGGGAAGAGTTTTTAGCAAAGCTTTTAGGATCTTAGGATTAGGTGAAAGGAAAGGTAGGTGGGTAATGGAACAAGATTTTCATGGAGATTTTCAGGTCCTTGTCACGTGGTTTTTTGCTTCTTTCTCCGGTGTCCTTGACTGAATTGTGCTCATTCTGGTATGGTTTGAAAGATCTGTTCACTCTGCACAAGTCAGCGAAGAAAGTTGTCTTTGACCGTTCAAACTGATGACGTCACAATGGGTAGAAAGGACCTGGATCCGCACGGGTGGTTACGGGCGGTTCAGGGGCGAATGGGTTAATAGATATGGTAACACGTTTTTCCCAGAAGGTCAAATACAATTGTTACTGTTAAGAACATCCATGCTTAAGTCTTATGAAAGGTCCTGATGGCATAGTTTTATCATTTTAACTCTTGTTATAATGGATAATAAGCATAATGATTTAGCACAAAGACTGCAGCAAGATTTACATTTTATGCCCTCTATTTTTATCATTCAGTTTATCTTTTTAGTTAGGTTAAAGATGTTTCCTTCCTCAACCACCAGCCAGAGTTAGAAAAAAAACTTCAATTCAAGCTTGTCCTTTGGGCGAGCAGTTCTGACATTATGCTTGCCCAAGGTCACTTCTTGCTCATCTTAGTAAATGTTAATGATTTTGTCAGAGGTTGACTTTCTTGGACCTCTTGCCATTGGGCAAGAAAACTTGAAAAGTTACTTGCCCAGGAAGAAATCCTCTTGTCCCACACTACCAAACGAGGCATTTTTCAAGCCCTGCTATCCCAGCCCAGATTTTCTATTTAGTTTATTAATTCTCATAACCTTAGCTCTTGAAAATGTGTGGATAATGTTAGGAGAAATTTTATGTTGGTCACTATTGGAACTTAAAGGGTTAAAACAGTTTACAGCGGTGGCAGGATAACCAGAGAACTAGGTGGCAAGGACCTAAAACCATCCACATTTTGTCTTCTAGGATTCGACAAGTGAATGTGAAACAGGGAACAGTGATGGAATCAGGGTTTGTTTTTTTTCTTATCATGTTTGAAACAATTTGCATTGTTTGTAGGACATGGGCTGGGGGAAGGGAGTGGTGGAATTTGAAACCTGTGAAAACTGAATCGTTAAGAAAGTTAAGGGCTTGACTCCAGTCAGGAACTTAGCTATGCTGCCCCTTACTGGTAATGTTACAATTTGTTTTGTTAATGGAAAATTCCTCCTGATAACAAGGTGTGTTTGCACAGTTTTTTTACTATGTAGAACATGCAGATCCATGCGAGGGAAAATTAGGGTGTGGTTATCTTAAACTCTTTTCCTGGATTTTGTCTGCTTTTCCTAAGATTTACAGTTCAACTGCTGTAACCCCGGGGGAGGGCACTCCCACATAATAGTGTTGGGGATGCTCATCAGAAAACTTAAATTAAACCCCGTAGGGAGACCAGATTAAAATAATAATTAACATTAAATTAACCCCCATGGGTGTGGCTCACACTTAAACTGACTCCTAAAGAAGACCATACTAGAACAGACATCAAAATTAGAGCTAGCGGGTTTTTATGGTGGTTAAGATGTTAGCATAGAATGGGTTCATCAGATATCTGTGTGGTCAGTGGTAGGGCATTTTTTTCTGTAAATTTCTTTTTGCACAGCCCTAAGCAATACCTGAATGGGCAAATATAGTGACTTTCTGTCACACGCATTCTAAATGAGACAAAAATCTGCAATTTGCACTCCTAAGCGAGACGATGAGCATACCCTCCACTGTTATATTTGGTCCTTCCCCTGAGGCTGCAACCAGGACTACTTGATTGGCTCAAACAAACTTTCTCAGAATGTATTGTTATTTTCCTTTGATCTGATTGGTCCTGCATGTAGTAGTCATGCCATAAATTTTCAGATCAATTTAGGTTTCTGGGAAACTGCCCATCTACCCCTTCTCTCCGCTAACATCCACATTTACTTCTCACTTAGGGCAAAATTTTGGCTTTGGGTAGGGGTATCCAAATGTTCCACGTAGTTGTTTTATTGCTAATGAGGATCCTGGTGTTTTTCTTATCTCAGTAAGAAGGGTAAGACTTCTGTGTCCTAAAAACAGAGGTACTGTTTATCAAGGACATATTGCTTCATGTGAACAATAATAGTGTTGATGATTTAACAGGAGCATGTCCACTTAGTGTTTGTCCTTTACTTTCAAGGAAGAGGAAAACTGGGGTTTAAACAGCAAACTTAACCCATCACACCACTCCTTAATTTATCCTGGGCCACAAGGGTGGGAGTTGACCCTTCCCTCTCCTCCCCCCCCCCCCCCCCCCCCCCCCCATTCCCACCAAAAAAATGCAATTGTCAACAGGCTTTGCCTAAACCCTTTATTGCAGAAACCAGAGATGGGAGTGCTCTCCTTACATGTTTATTTTTGCTTTTCTTTTTCCAGGAAACAGTCATCAACACATGAGGCCAGAGGGGAAAATACATTACAGTAATGTACATTATACACATATATATTGCAAGATAACCATATGAATTATATAAAAGAATCTTTAGTTGAGAGAACTAGATAATACAGCTTGTTAATACAGCTTTCACAAAGTGTATATTTAAAAGCAAAAGAAATTGAAAGGTTAGAATTTTATTAGGAATTGTAAGAAAATGCCATAGTATTCTATAGGAGAACTAGGTAATTATCTGTTTAAAAAAGTAGAAGGGTACAATATAGAACCATGAAAGAAATTTAGGATTAGATTTGATAATAATTACAAGGTCACTGTGTACCTTTAGGCGCATGTCCAGTGTATTATAAACAGTTGCATTTTCTTTTCCCTCGCTGAATTGGCTAGATAAGATTTTGATGATTCTTTCATTATGATAATGTGAATTCTTGTAGTACCTTCATTGATTTTCACATGGTGAATGACACCAGTTTTCCCCAGTTTCAAGCCACTAGATGCCTTATTTTTTGTATATAATTCATGACTCCCGCGTAGTGCAGAGCTGCAAATAAGAGTTTCTCATGGGACTATGCCTGACTAAAAATTGGATTTCGTAGATGTCTGTGGAAATCCTACCTGTGGTCTGGCATGAGGACTGGACAGATCAAATACTAAAGACTATCAATTTGAAGCTGAAGGTTTGCTTAGTACTTGTCCCAGAAAAAGTCAATATACTGTATACCTGACAAAGTTTTTGGGTTATCCAGTCCAAATTGTGACCTGGTTGGTTTGTCCTTTTAACAGAATATTATTTGCAGGCCTGTGGTGTCACAAAACACATTTTTGATTGTTAAACATTATCAGAATAAGCATTTTAGTGGATTATTTGGTTATTTTCTATGGTTACATGTCAAGTAAATGATCAAAGATAGCTTTTTGCATTTGTTGAACAACATCATGGTAGCTATTCAGCTGAAAAGGGTTTAGTTCTAAATATCTGTCCTTAACGCCAGAAGTCGTAGTGATCCACCCTAATCATTTTACAAGGCCTTCAGTAATCTCATAGGACCCCCCAGTCTGATTTTCATGCCTAAAAGACCTAAAACCTGTATGTGAGATTGTCCTTTATTAAGCATTAAGCTGAATGTTATTTTCAAGTTGCAGTTTTAAAGTTGTTGTTGACTAGTCTCTTGCTTGCAGCACAGCAGTATTTATTTGGCGTTTGCTATGTACCATTTTGTACCTGTGTATATTTCTATTTGATTCTGTTGCTCTGAAGAAAACTGCCTGAAATCAACTCTAAGTTTATCCAGACTTTGAGAGTAATGTAATGTTATCATTTCTCACGTACAACTGGGAGCAAAGATAAGACTTATTGCTTACCCTGACCAACACAAAGTCCTACAGCAATAATATAAGCAACTAAGGAACAATGTTAAAAAATAACACCAAAAAAAAAAAACAGCAAAGCAAGGCTCATTCTCGATACATCGAATGAAGGTAACTTCTTGTGTCGCACTTGTAGGGAAGGACTGTAGGATCAGTAAATAGAGAGCTTATGCAAGCATTATGAGGATGAAAAAACATTCTTTATGATCAAAACTATTCTGTTTCATGTGCACATATTGAATGTTTTGGTACATTTCATTGCCATAGCTACAAAGTGAAACTTACGAATGCAATGTTTTATATAACTCACAATGACAACCAACCTTGCATTTTTGCTGGCATTACCATCTTGTTCCTTAAAATCTCTAATGTGTAATGAACAGTACCAAAGAAAACAGGGAACTTCGGCCACCAGGGGGTTGAGGGGAAACATACACTAGCGCTCAGATTCCGATATAAATGTGAGAAAAAGTTTTTTGCTTTGGCATTCTTCATCCAGTAGATAACTGTAAATACAAGTCCAAACAAGATTGAAACTTGCTGACACTCTTGTCCACTTCATACAGTGTTCACCGATTACACCTTTATGTGCAATTTATTGTTATTCTGAAATGATAAACTACTGAGTGCTTTGCCTGTACAGGTTGGCTCATTGATGGGTACACATGTCCCTAGTTTGAATTTGGATATCTGTTATTTTGTGTATTTGAAGGAGAAGCTACATCAGGGTTGTCAGAAAGTTTTTAAGTAGACGGCTGAGTTGTCAAAGTAAGCGGCCAGTCCAGGGATAAGTTATTTTAAAAACTCCATCCATAAAGAAATGCTAAGCAGAGAAACCAGCTGATACTAACCAAGTAGGCGACATCCCTGTCATTATTGTATTGCTCTTTTATTTTGTTGCTGTCTCAGTCTGACTGAGCTCACTATTGAGTTTTTGTTGCTATTCCATCTGTCATGAGTCGCTGTTTCAAGGCCGCTTGAAAGTTTACCTTAACAGGGCTGCAGTATTTCTCAGTGTCTTAAGAATTTAATTTGCTTGCTCATTGATGGCTGTCTTTCATTTGTAAATTTGTTTTGTTTTTTTGACAAAATAATATGATCCTCAAAACTTTTATTATGACTTTAAAAATCTGCAGATGCGTTTTACTCTGTCACCTCAAAATGCAAATAACTGTACCCTGCTAGCAGAGTTGCTTCAATTTTCCTAGATTAGTCAGGAAAGAGGAAGTTCATTTGAAAACAATTTATTGAAGTGTCTCTGCTAGCAGGGTAAAATGCACATTGTAGAAAAAGTGACTTGCTCCAGTGGAATTAAGATTTGGAATTGTTGGGAAGATGAAAAAAGAAATTGACAAATTTTGAGTACTCACTGACAGCAAGCATGCAGTGACTTAAAACTAAGGCCATTGCAATAACAAAATAATAAATGTTTTAGTGCCATTTTAATAATATTGAACCATTGTATTAATATTAATTGAAATCTGGGAAATATGCAATTTGTCAATAACATTGTTAAATAGGAGGTGTATAAAACAAAGCTCAGGGCTCACATTTATTGAGTTTTCTGAAATTTCTCACTGTTGAGAAAAGCAATTCAGCAATAAGGTTAACTCTTGTTAACGTCAATTGAGAATATTCCATATTTAATTTGATAGAATCCTGAACAATAAATAATGCTATGCAATCATTTTTATTTGAATGGACACATCATAGGATTTCAGCCGGACTCAAAAGATATTATTACCACATGACGTAAGTGTCTATAAATAACTATAGAATGAAAGAGTTAACAATGGATTATCTTTTCTCAGATAGAAAAGCTAGAATTACATTCATTATGAAACTTAAACAAGTTAATTAAAGTACTGTTCAGTACATTTCTTCTCGTGAAGATAGTTGCAATTAGCTTTGGTTTAGAGTTAGGATATCAGACAAACAAATGTATTGGTCAAGTCATTCATTCTGGTTTTCATTTACAGACTTCGAGGTTAGAACTACAGTGTGCCGTATTTTCAATGTTACCATGGAAATGTTATGAGCTTTCCTTTGAATGGTCACACTAGAATGTCATGTAAGCGTATCTAGTCACTGTTCCATGGTTACATTGCAAGTCAGATTGTTGCATGTTGTTGTGACCTTGTTTCATAAAATTTATAGCCTGTTCATTCACATTAACATTGTCGGAGAGCCTAAGGGACAAGACCCCAAAGCATTATGGGAAGTTTCATTAAGAAATTTCCAACCTCTGCACAATTCTACAATCAAAAAAACATCGAAGATTAACTCTTGTGAGGTTTCATACCATGCCTCTATTGCACTGACAACTGTGAAGTTATGAGCAGTTTTTGAGGGATTGAAAGCTACCCACATGACCTTGCAGTCTTGTTGTGTAGCTGTGAGGCCTTAAAGTCTGACAATGTTAATTAAAATAGCTGTCATAGGAATACTGTCTCCTACCAGTTATTTATATCAACTGCCATGGAACTTTAATCTGACTTGGTGTTAAGTGACCTGATGTTAACTTATCCAGGCAATTTGCTGAATACAAGAAATTCAATAAATATGACCATTATAACAGCAAGCAAACCCCTGTAACCTTTTGATAAAACTTGATCAGTTTTAAAGAAAATTCTAAAATGAAAGAGATGGATTGTGTTGAAAGCTTTATACAATTTTCTTGTTCCTAACTAGTCACAATTATGGCACTTTCCATCACTCCTTGCACTATTTCAGAGTACACAAGCCTGCGGTCTTGGTCAGTGAAGCGTGCAAAAAACTGCGGAGGAGAGAGGATGAGTGCCTGTAAGCATCTTTTTAGAATACCTTGGTCCACCCACTACCCTGCCCCACTTCCAGAAAAACTGTCTTGTGTCAAACCGTGTGTTTGTCGGACTCTTTGCGCACAGCAAAGTGATTGATTCAAGTGTTTAAGTTAACTGTCAAGGTTGACTAATCAAAGGGTATACCGGGCGCTATTACACCGGAATGAGGTATTGAAAACCATGCTTACAGGTGCCACTTCTCCATCTGTCCCCAGCCCCCACACGGCTTCTCTGCAACTTTTTCTGAACCACTTTCCCTACTAAGAAACCTAAGAGCAGCCAATTGGGTGCTGGGATATTTAATTGTGGGTTTTGAATACAAGTAGGAAAGGAGAGATCTGGGGCATTAGTCTGATTCTCAGACGGCTGGAATCCATGACCCTGCAGGTCGCTCTCAGTTACTCGGCCACTTGGAACCTGGATCCTCTGAGAATCAGGCTACTTGGCAGTTATTTCATGAGGGATATGAAATGCTGCTTCTCATTGGTCAGTTTCTGTCAATCAGAAGAGGTATATTGCCAAGGTTTTCGGAATCAGGCATTTGGCTGGGATTCGATTTGCAGGGCTCACATTATCATTGCCTACTCCCAAGATCTTACAGTCGGCCACTTCTTCGATTTCTTAAAATATCTTGACTGGAGGGAGAGAGAAAGACAAACTTAGGTCACTAGTTGCATTCCCCAAGGAGTGATAGTGGTAAAAGGTCTTGCCTTTGCCCTACACAGTTAACAGCTGGTATATACCGTGGACAGTATGATCACTGGAAAACTCTGGACAATCAGGCTTTGCAATCACCGGGCTGAGTGACAAACGGGACAACAGGCTTGAAATAGGGATCCTTGTTTCCCCCCCATTCTTATAACAATACTGTAAATCTGTCAAAGAGTAACAAGCTAAGCCCTAAAAAGCTATCCCGACATTTCGCAATAAATTAGACAGACTGATAAGTCAAACTCTGGCTCCTCCACTGGCTTTCCCAAGGCTAAGTGGGGAACTTGCGAGCACACGAGACAGAGAGACAAGCGAGAAGCGTGAGAGAGGGATGATGGGAACGGGAGTAGACTGTAGAGCGCTTCCTGCGATTGAGAGCGACTGGGGACGAGGCAGAGTCAAACTAGCTGTATGTATCCGAGCACAGCGCATCCCGCCTATCACCCTTTACACCATTTTTTTCTTCGAGGACCGCTCCTCCCGCTCCTCGATCAGACCATAGAAGGATGATGCACAACCCAACATTCTTAACGTGACCCTGGGAAATACACAGCATTCCCACAGACCTTAATAGGCTGTTTGCACTAAGGGACTTGTCAGAAATTAGCAGGGGGGAGGGGGGGTGGAAACAGAGGGAGGGTCACAACTTTTTGAGACTCAGAAAAGGGAGGGGTCATGAAAAATGGGCCGTTAAAAGGGGAAGGGTCATGCAAATATATGCCCGTGATCATGTAGAGGTTCAGCCACAGAAGAAAAAGGAAGTTCTTTATTTGGTAAAAAAAAAGAAGAAAAAAAAGGAACAATGGAACATTATGGATATAAACTGTGAAGTACTATTGCAAGAATTAAACAAACAACTACTTTTCATTTATAACAATGCTATAGAGTCTTATTGCATTTTCATTATGAATAAGGTTGTTATTAATGCTATTAGAGTTTTGGCTATCCTTTTCATCACTGTCTTCAGCATCACCATCAATGCTGGTGTGAGCATCTTGATCATGTCATCAGCATTCATACAATCACTTTCATCATCATCATGATTTTCACTTAAGTTGAAGCGTAGATATTGCTTAATAATTTCCTGTGATTCATTGGTGAACACTCCCTTCTCAAAGGCATATTGGATATATGGCCTTTGTGTTTTGAGGAGCCCACTTATTCCTTCATAATGAAGAGACAATGGGCCAACAGGCTCTGTAACATTATACGATTCCTGCTGAGGTGCAATGGTTTCAATAACGCTTTTGCAGTTTACTACCATTCTTTTTGCCTTCGTTTTTTTGCTTTTCAATTACTTTGTTTTTGTTTCCTTTTTTTCTTGTCGGCTTGGAATACTACACCTTGAAGAGCCTGGAACATTTTTCTTTCAATTCTGTAAGGTGGGGAGGTTCATGATATTTTAGGAAAAGCTCAAGGGGAGGGTTATCAAATTTCACTCCCATAGCAGGCATGTGTCACCTAATTTCCGAACCCAAATTTAAAATTCACACACCCCCCTCCCCCCTGCTAATTTCTGACAAGTCCCTAAGACATCATTTTACTACTACGACCAGAATCCTTCAGGGATTTGCTTTCTTGTGCAAATTAAGGCCTTTGTCGCTGAGATTACAAAATTTAAATATGAAAGGAAAAAACGAAAAGGATTCTGGTCGTAGTAGTAAAATGACGCCATCGTGCAAATGACCTATTCAGCCAATAGGCGGATATATCGTGACGTCATAGTCTACATTTTTGCTCGTTAGCATACCCGAAGAAGATGTAGCCGTATATACCAATAAGGTTCAAAAATTAAAATGGCAAGTTGAGTTTCAGCTCTTTGCAATCAGTAACAAAGAAAATAGCGGCAATTAAAAACTGCAAGAATACTGGGTGGCAAAACGTTAATGAGCTCATACATTCTTTGTAAATTTTGGGTTTTTCAATGAGAATTTCTCCGAAACAATTTAGTATATCGGGCTCAAATTATTAGAGATAACTGAAATTGTTATACTCTTTCAATATTCAGAAATTTCATTTTATTAGCTTCGTCCGATAATTATAAGCCTGTGTTAATGAAGCAAAAAATGTAAACAAGGATTCGCCTATAGTAAAGGCGCTTTGCAGCTAGCCATTCACGTGGGACAAAACCGCCGCGCTGGAGAGCAAAAGACGCACTGGAACAAGACAAAAAAAGGCATACATGATGTTAAATGGTAATTTCCTTTGTTGTTCTTGTTTTAATGCGACTTTTGCTCTCCAGCATGGCGGTTTTTTACCACGTAAATGACTAGCTGCAAAGGTCCTATTCTTGTAAAGTTAGGTCCAGGCGTCCTTCCTAGGATCGAGTTCTCGTCCAACTCTCCTCCCTGCAGCGATGGCTCCTGGTCTACCGACTCTGAACAGACCAACCGGCGACTTGTAAAGGTCGTAAAGCCTAGGACAGATTCTCCCACATCTCATGAAATGGGGTTTATTGTGTGTGGGTATTCCTAATGAGAAAATATTTTTTTTACTTCCTCCTTGCCGTTGCAGTTGTGGTTGAGTAAGCCCCCAAATATGTTTACAGTTACATATCCGGGGTTCGTGAACATAAACGTATATGTTTATGCTTAGATCTTAATAATTTCCTTTATATTTTTGCCCTGATATATTATAAAACTTGCCGTTGCAGTTGTGGTTGCTTAAGTTCACAGTTACATATCCGGCGTACGTGAACATAACCGTATATGTTTATGCTTAGATCGGAATACAGCGATCCTTAATTTCCTTTATATTTTTGCACTGATATAATTATAAAGCTTGCATAAAAAAGGAATTTTACATGTTTGCTATAAATTACAAAATAGGCTACTTAACGTCGCTGTCAACGTTTCTGCCGTCAGTTACTCGTCAGGCAGAAGACAGGGAACAAAAGTTACCATGCAAAAAAGAGATAACAAAAGTGCATACGCGATCAAACAAACAAAAAAAAATTGAAAAGAGAAGTTTCTAGTTTTTTACAGGTTTTTTTTCCGTTTAGAAGGGTGAAAGAATAGTGAATTCTCTATACGGCTAAGATTTGTCCCTTTAACAGCATAAGAAAAAATTACGAAAACTACTCTTAAACGACTGGAAGTATTTGCCGAGAAAATGGACCAAACTGCTCTGTTTTATTAACGAAACAATAAACCGTGAAAAAGAACAAAATGCCGGGATGGTGTGGCATCGTAATCTCTCGACACAAAACTGAAAGAAACACTCAGTAGGTTACATACCAGAATTCCTGGCCCTGGGTCGCATACATCATTCGCATAGTTGATTAATTTAGAAAACTTTTAACTTTATTGTAGTTGAAAGAGGACTTTGGCAGGGAACTTTACCTGGTGCATCTCATGATTTTTTGTCCTTAACTCTTTTATAAGAAATACGAAATTTTTTGTTTTGCTCTCTATATAGATGAGAGCATGGGTGACGCAGTGGTGAGAGCACTCGCCTCCCACCAATGAGGCCCCGGGGTTCAAATCCCGGCGTCGACGCCATATGTGAGTAGACTTTCTAAAAGTCCTTTAAAACTTTTTCCTGTTTGTTTTTTTTCCCCTGGTTGGTTATTCCTTCGTCGCTGCGTGACCTCGTTGAAGCTCGCTTCTCTCGCAAAGAACTTATGAGAGGTCAACTTGTAGCAAGTCTAATATGTGGGTTGAATTTGTTTGGTTCTCTCCTTTGCTCCGAGAGGTTTTTCTCTCGGGTACTCCGGTTTTCCGCTCTCCTCAAAAACCAGTACTTTCAAATTCTAGTTCGATCACGTTTCAACGAGTTCATAAAAACTCTTAAGTGCTTTGTGGGTAAACAAATTACAAAAAAAGAATTAATCTTTTCAACAATATAACTTAGGACGTCAAAATTGTATAAAATACTTCGAGAAGAACTGAAAAATCGATGATAATAATTATAATTGATAATAATAATTATTATAATTATATAATATTGATGATGATGATGACACTTTAAACCAAACTGTAATAGCGGTGTATAACCACTAAGTGGGGACACTGAAATGAGTTAAAAAAGAATAAATCAATATAAATCAATTAATTAAAAATGAAAATGAAAAAACAGGACATAAGAATTAAGAAATTAAGAAAAACTATGTACAGTATAAGCAAATAAGAAATTCGGGAGAATAAATAATAAATTCGGTATAATAAATATCGTTTGATATGTCACTGGTTTTCTTTCTACCAGTCTTTCTTTTTTCTTATGGGCAAGGTACGCATGCCTAAGGCCCGTTTAAAACGTCGTGCTTCTGCCGTGCCGAACTAAATTCGACTTTAGCACGGCAGTAGTGCGACGTTTGAAACCAAGTCATGCTACTGCAGTGCAGCAAACTCGACTTGGTTTCAAACGTCGCTCTACTGCCGTGCCGAACTCAATTCATAAAATAATTATAAATACATTAGAATACATTTAAAAGTTTGCTAAACCGTTTCTTTATTTTTATGTTTTTTTCCGCATAGCAGCCGCTCTATTCGACTAAATTAAATTCGACGTCTGAAACCAAGTTGTGCTAGTTAGTCTCAGTGTCGTGCTGCAGTCGAGCTACAGTCGAGCCACAATGCTTAGCGCGGCGGTAGCACGACGTTTGAAACAGGCCTAAGTTCGCGATCACTACACAATCGGTGAACGCAATTTAAAAGGAACATCAACCGTTTATCTGGGATCCTTGGTGTTTTTGAAAAAGACTGCTAAAATGCCGGTATGCCTGAAGATTACTACAAGCTCGAGACACGAATACATCATAAAATCCAAAAAAATTGTGTAAATGGGTTAAAATCAATTACATTAAAAATATTGATATCAAATAATGAATTTAAGTACAGTTAACAATCGCTTAACAAACATCTCCAGTTAAAGGCCGTTAAAGCTCCGTTCCGTCGGTGCCTTTAATGTGGACAATTTAGGCAGCAACCAACTGAAATTTGTACGGAAATTTGGATGTATTTAGGCAGCTTAAAATCTAAGGAAATTCGAAATTTGCGTTTTCAAGTTTTGTGGTTTATTGATTAGGATCCTTGAATTGGCTCTAGGCAGATTATAAAAGGCTGACTTCTTGAATTCAGTGG